GAATCCCATCCTGCCAGGTATTGGTGGTGTGTGATTTTTGGCAAGTTACTTAGCCTCTCTGAGACTCACTTTTTACGACTCCAAAATGGGTGTTTTAACTCTGTCTTTATGTGGTGTCATGAGGATTAGACATGATATATGCACAGTGTGTGGCCCAGACAAGGAGCATGATCCTTTCACTCACTAAGACTCGAACCCTGACTCATTAGGGGGATGGAACCCTAGTGGGCTCCACCATTTGCTTCACAGCCTTGCTGGGGCCCAGCTGCTGAAGGGAGGGCCCTGCTTTGTGTGCTTTGGGTCCCCTGCTGAGTTTCTCACCACAGGGCTTACTTGCATCTGCGCTGTCTTTGGTCAGTGAACGCTTTTAGTTAATAGAGGCAGCAACCTGTGGGTGAGCAGAGGCCGTATGTCTGCTCTGGTGGCCGAGGAGGGTGTCCTGAGCTGGAAACATGGAGTCGGACTTCAGGTGAGGACGGAGGAGAACAGGTCAAACAAAACAATACCCAAGACCGTGAGATGGGGTTGCTGAGTAGCAGTGGGGAAGGATAAAGTCAGCTCAGACTTTGAGACCAGGAGAAAGTTAGGCAGCTTTGGAAATGACTCCCGAAGAATCCGGGCAGGGCAAGTCCTGGATGCCCCCCAAAACGGGGCTGTCTAGATTGGGAGCAACAGGCAGGACGGTCTCTGGAGGTGCGTTACTGTCAGGAAGCACTTTACTGACAGGTGCGCCCAGCTCGGTGGCTGGCAACCCTCTCCTTACAATGGGAAGGAAACCCGTTGTACCCACGCTACGGAGTTTCTGGGAGGCCTCAGACCCTTTCCCGGGTCTGTGAAACGCCCTTTGCTTAGAAAGCACGGCGCGAGGGCAGCAGCAGCATGCCGGGGATGTTGCTTTCAGCCAGCATCTCTCCTGCATCTCTGTGCCCCGGTTCGTGCTGACTTTGGAGAGGAGCTCCTGCCCTGCTGATTAGCATCATCAGCAGGACCTGCTGCTCGCTCGCTTACCGCTTACCGACTGTGGGGTAGAGATTGCCCAGGGAAGGAAGGGCTGTGGGTTTCCAGCGGCGGCCACAAGAGAAACTCCCAGCTTCCCCAGGGTGTCAGTGAGAGCCTGAGCTCGCAGCTCCAGGGCTCACAGGCCGCCACGAAAGTGAGCAGATGAGTCAGACTGGGTTTCGGGGCATGTTTGTGGCTGAAGCACTACACTCGGGCCCCATGGTGGTCAAGCAAGGATCCAGGCGGCCTTGCTACCTCCGGCATCCGTGGGAGAGGCTGGGGGTGGGTCACCTGGCTGCCAGGCGGCCGTTTTTCTGACTGGAGCCGGGCCTGGCATTGTGTGGGTAGACTGCGGAAGGAACCGCTGTGCGGCAAATGGGAAAGGATGGGAGACCAGTTCGTGGAGGTCGGCTGGGCCACAGGAGGAGGGGCAGGAAGGCTCGGGGCTGACCCAGGAGGTGGCAGGATGAGGCTGGGGCCTGATGTGCTGATGGGGGAGACAGGATTGTTGTGCCATAAGAAAAGGGCCTTGCCAGGACAGTGTCTGGGTTAATAGGATAAAAGCAGGTTTGGGTTTGGGTTTGTCTTCAGTGACATGTGAGCGTCAGGAAGCCTCAGCTGGAACTTGATTTTTTTTTTTTTTTTAATATTTTTATTGATTTCTGAGAGGAAGGAGAGAGAGAGCTAGACACATCAATGATGAGAGAGAATCATTGATCAGCTGCCTCCTGTACACCCCCCCACTGGGGATTGAGCCCTCCACCCAGGCATGTACCCTTCAGTCTGCAGGCCAATGCTCTATCCACGGAGCTAAACCGGCTAGGGCTGGAACTTGATTCTTAGCAGCCCAAAATGCTACCTCCTTTATTTCATGATTGAATTTTTCTTTTTATTATAAGACTAGAGGCCCAGTGCACAAATTTGTGCACAGGTGGGGTCCCTCAGCCTGGCCAGCAATCAGGGGCTGATGGGAGCCATCTCGCCCAGTCCTAATAAGGGCCTATCGGGGCCCGCCAGGGGAAGGAACTGTGGGAGGTTGGCTGGCTATGGGAGGTTGGCTGTGAGAATGCACTGACCACCAGGGGGAAGCTCCTTCATTGACTGTCTGCTCCCTGGTGGTCAGTGCGCATCATAGCAACCAGTTGACTGGCTTTTTCTTTGACTGGTCATAACAGTCGCTTAGGCTTTTATATATATAGATTGAAGCTTCAGCTATTAGATAGAATAAAAGAACTCTAGGATAGAGTCTCCTATTGGTAGGAAACCCATTGAGCATGGATCACCTTGTGGTTCTCTCCCCTTTCCTCTCTTACCACCTTCCCTCATTGATATTTCTGTGATGCTTTGTGCCAGGCATCATGCTGATATAAAGAATGGAGTAATGAGCAGAATGATCAGATGCTGTTCTTTTGCAGCCATTAGTTGTATGCAGACATCAAACAAATCATCACTTGACCAGAGTGTGCCCTTTCCTTGACCTTGGGTTGACATCAAGTGGGGTCTGCCCTGTCCTGGACTTGGAGGGACAGAGAGCATAGACTCTAGGTGAGGCATCCTCATCCTCAGCACTGGGGACATCTCCTCTCCAGCTCCCTCTCTCTCTCTGGAGAACCTTATCCTCTTGTGTTTCCAGTGAGTGTTTGCTTCCATCCTGATGTGGAGATGGGCAGTGTGGAGATTTAAGGAATAACCTGCTAGGTGATGGTAGCATGATCAGGAGGAGGTTGCAAGCCTTTTTGCAGATGTGTTTTGGGTACAACTGTAGCCCAGTGGGAGCTTTGTACATACCAAAATGGAACTGAAATGTATTTTTAATTTACATTTAATCTGTGATAATGGCAAATTCATGGTAGGAGGCTACGAAATCAGTTTGGAAGGGCTTTCCAATTTGAGCAGTCCTATCCGCTGTGTGTCCTGAGCTGAGTAGGAGACTCTCTCTCTCTCTCTGGAGCCTGGGATGTGAAGTGCACCAGACATCTCGGTGTGGCTGGTGAAGGCAGGATGGGAGCAGCATGGGGCACACCTGCTGCTACCATTTGCCCTGTGAGGGAACTTCAGGGAATTGTACACTCAGTACTCTCTGCCTTTGCTGGTGTGACCTCTTTCTTCACTGCCTCTTAGAAAGCAGCTGGCCACAGTACAGGAACACAGAGGGTGGGAGTGATTAGTTGAGAAGGTACATACTTCATTTCAGAAGCGATAACTATTACCAGCCTTCAGCATGTCCATGAGTTCTGAAGTAGACTTAGCACACCGGGCAGGACGCCTGCTTAGGGTACAGCAGTGGGGGTGTGGGACTGCCTGGCTCTGAACTACATTTGCATTTTGGACCAGAGTTATAATCCTGTGTAGAGGTTGGGAAGACCTAATTGGTGTACACCCAGGCTTTTTATTTTTGGAAGACTGAGGTTTAGTGGGCCCTGTCCCAGCCTCCTGAACTATGAAAAGGGGTAACACCAAGCTCACAGAGGTGTGTGAGGTATATGTATTGAAGGTTCCTTCTTCTTCCTGGATGTCTCTATCAATCCAGCCAATGTGAAATGAGGCTGAACGGAGTGGGGTTGTACTCACATCTCTGTAGCAATCTGTTCTCCATATCAGTGCCTTAGAGTCCAATCCAAGGGCCTGGAATGGTGCTCTCTAATCACTGATCAGAGAAGGGACCATTTTATCTTAAGCTCATTGATTCATTTAACAGATATTTTTGGAGCCAGGCACTGTGATGGGTGCTGAGGGTACAAAGATGAGTAACTCACCCACGGCCATCGGGGAGGTCACACTGGACTTGCAAAGACAGATGTATACACTCGTGGTTACAGTATGGAAAATGAAACAGCAGTGCTGGGCAGAGCGATCATAAGAGGACAGAGAAAGAGGACCTCCTTCAGTTTGGGATGTTGGTGGTGGGGTTGGAGTTACAGTGGAAAAGAGATTTGGGTAAAGGGCACAAGTTTGAATTATGGCACGGAGTTGAGAAACATCCTGGTATGTTTGGAGACTGTTAAGCTAGCTGGTGTTGCTGCAGGAGGAGGGGTGATGCTGGAGAGATCAGAAGGGGCTGGATCAAGAAAGGCCTGCGTGCCAGGTTGAGGAGCTCAGGCTTTATTCACAGGCCAGGAGTTCTCCAGGGCAGGATACTGGGGAGGTGGGAGGGGTCTGCATTTGCATTTGGAATAACCAGGGAGTGAGCACCCATGGGTTAGATGGACAGTGCTTGATTAGAAGGCGGCTTGGAGAGCTTGACCATGAAGGCTCCTTTTAGGAAGATCTGTATTGTCTTGGGACAGAGACAATGAGGGCTATAGGAGCTGATGATAAGAGGGATGCATGTATTTAGGATTTAAGGAGGAGAATGAGGAAGCAGCAGCCAATGGTGACCGGGCTCTGCTCACATCCTACTTCTCTTGAGAGGGTTTTCAGACCTTTGACCCAGACTTTATTCTACACTCTGGTGCTATTTGCCTCCATTCTTTGCATCTTATTTTGTATTGTAATTGTTCTTACATTTATTTTGCTTCATCTAAGTAGCAGAAGCACTTGAAAGGTAGGGACTGAAACTTTTTTGGGTATAACTTTAGGTGTTTAATATTATGTATGCATAATATTATTGGAACTTCAGGCAATTTATTTCATTTATTTCTGGTTTTCTTGTAAGAGGAGAAGGGAGAATTAAACACAGTTGTCAAATGGGAGGTTTCCTCCATCCAAAGAAATATATTCATGACTTTTGCATCTAGAAGGGAATTGTAGTAATCAAATACACATCAAATCATTCAAAAGGAATTTAAGAGAATTGGAAGTCTAGAAGACTAGGCTAGTTTTTTTTTTTTAATTATTATTATTATTTTTTTATTTTTTATTTTTTTTGTCATTTAATTCTGGAAACAACTTACCTGGAAAGACTCCTTGGGTGGGCTGGCAGTGGCTTGTCTATCCAGATCAATTTGATTGTGGCACAATTGATTGTGGTTTCTGACGGATGTTTGTGATCCCGCCTGCAGGTCCAGAGCCCAGTGCCCACTGTGAACTGTCGCCGGTCAACGCCTCCCATCCTGTCCAGGCCTTGATGGAGAGCTTCACCGTCCTCTCGGGCTGTGCCAGCAGAGGCACGACGGGGCTGCCACAGGAGGTGCATGTCCTGAACCTCCGGGGCCCGGACCCGGGGCCCGGCCAGCCACAGAGAGAGGTAGGTACAGGCGCCAGGTTTCTACCCATGAACAAAGGGTCCTTTTCTTCCATTCAGAACCTAACAGGGATGATCATGAATGAGCATACGTGGGGAGGAGGATACAGTGTACACTCGAGAGAGAAGGATTTCAGATTGCTCTCTGGACTGGTCAACTCCAGGACTACTCTCTCTAGAGATTTTTTTCTAACTTTCCTGGCCCCTCCTGATGGAAAGAATATTCTTACAAATTTCATCTTTTCTACATGGCTATGAAAGAACAGAATCGGGTACCATTGCTTTGTCATTGTAAATGTCTTTCCCGTCTTCTCCTGTGCTCCATCTTCCTTCTTTCTTTGCTTTGTCTTACGAACCTGTGGCTCCTGCAGGGTGAGCCAGGGAGATAGGAGGACTCTGGAATAAAGATGATGACACTCGGTACTTGCATGAAAGGCCTGGGGGGGGGGGGCTTCTTATGCTGTCCAGGCTGCTTTTCAAAGATGGTGGTGGTCTTGGTGTTGTGGTGATGGTCTGAGCTCCTAGTGACTCAACATTTACTCTGCCCTCAGCACTGTTTGAAGCACTTACTGCCTTTACTCCATGAAATCCCATTATTATCCTTATTGTACCTGTGACAGGCAGATGCACAGAGAACTCACTGGCTCAAGGTCAGTGGGTCAGAAATGACATGCAGCTCAGAAATGACCTAGATTGTGGGCCAAAAGTTGTCAGTCTTTCCGTTTTTGAGCTTCTGTGTGTCAGAAATGTTATCACTCAAGTATATCTCTCCAGGGAGAGAGAAACCACAAAAAATTCTGATTACAGTGAAGTGCAGGGAAACTAATATAGAACAGAATTTATTTTTGAACTTTCTTCTGGTCAAGAAAGTTAATTTCCAGAAACATTTGTTTATGCGTGTCAACCACTCTGCCTTTTTTGGGGGGGTGGAAATAGGAGAGGTGAGGTGTCCAGAAGGAAAAGCAAACTGATTTTAATCCTATGAAAGCGTGCAGAGTTGGCTCCTTTCAAAGACAAATCATCTAACCTTTCCAGCTACATTGGAAATTATTGTTAATGCTCTTGGTTGCTTGCCACTGTAGCTGCAACACATATTTCAGATCAGATTTCTTTATCCCAGTAATATGTCTTTAATTCTTAACTTATGCGGGAGAAATAGTGGTGGGAGGAAGAGGGGGAGAGGAGGAAATGCAGTTCCTAAGAAGCGCTGCTGACTCCAGCGATTCTTTGGCAGCAATAATTACCCATTTTATATATGCTTCTCAGAGGAACCAAGAAAAAAAGAAAGTTCAAGTTATTACAGAAGCAGCAACAGGAGAACATCCTGGTAGAGTTGTTGACTCTGCAAACAGGTTCAAATAAGACTATCGAAGCAAAAGAAAAACACCTCAATGAATGACAGCAGTTCTTCCACACTTGTCTTTATTATGTTAGAATTCACTTTAGGCCACGGCAGGACCTCAGATACATTAACTTAGATGGTGCCAGGGGACAGTGTGTTCAGTGAGGAAGTAAAGAAAGCGACTGTGGGGAGTGGTCTCTAAAGCTTGTTTAAAAAACCTGACCATTCTTCGTCTTCCTTCAATATTTTTACTGTATGTGTATGGTTTTGGGTAAGTGATTTGAAGAGATTTCTTCTTCTTTTTAAAAAAAAATATATTTTATTGATTTTTACAGAGAGGAAGGGAGAGAGATAGAGAGCTAGAAACGTCGATGAGAGAGAAACATCGACCAGCTGCCTCTTGCACACCCCCTACCGGGGATATGCCCGCAACCAACATATATACCCTTGACCGGAATCGAACCTGGGACCTTTCAGTCCGCAGACGGATGCTCTACTGCTGAGACAAACTGGTTTCGGCTATTTGAAAAGATTTCTAAGACTAGGCAACTAAAGGAATTGTGTTCTTTCTTTCCTTGGGGACTTTTAAGAATTAGATGGTTGTAGTTCATTCCTGTTTGAAAACAAGATGGGATGAGTGATCTTTAGGAGTTTCACAGTTCAGAGCTGCACTCACATGGCGGACTGCATGTTTGATATGTACGGGGTAGTGTGGAGGACATCAGAGCAGAGGGGCCAAGACAGAGAGAGTGAAAGGGTTTGTTCATGGGTGGTAAGATGAGGATGGAGAAATGTTAAATCTCTCTCACTTTCTACATATATGACTGTGGAAATACATTACTGAACCCATGCCAGCAGTTTTAAAAAATCATTTAAACCACATGATCCAGCAATTTCACTCCAAAGTACATACGCACTCAAAAGAAATGAAAACATATGTCTACACAAAAACTTGTCCACAAATGTTCATAGCAACATTATTCTATGCTCTTGGTTGCTTGCCATTCTACTAGGGTTCAGGAATCTGGAGAAAGGACTGTGACGCAAATTAATAAAGAGGCTAGAGAAGAAATATGAATTTGGAAGGCATTTTGGGGGAGCCAGAAGAGGCTTAATTCTAGTAACTAAGTTCCCCAAATCTCCGGGCCCAAGGCTTTTTATTCCCACATTTTTTCCTATGGAAAAGCAGATATACATATCAAAGGTAAGGTTTGGTAAACAGTAAAGTATTATCAGGTTGTGGGAACTGCCTTCAGCTGCCTATAATATACTCAGATCTTCAGCCCCACTGAAGCCCCAAGGTTCAGCAGCCTTTTGATGAACTTCTTGCATTTTATTATGCCCTGCTGGAATTTGCTTCCAGCAATTCATAATAGCCAAAAGCTGGGAACAACCCAAATGTCCACCAGCTAATGAATGGACAAATACTAGTAAGATATGGTAGATGCATACACTGGAATATCATTTAGCAATAAAAATGAAGAACTGATACATGCTACAACATGGATGAATCTTGAAATGCTTTGCTAAGAGAAGGAGGACAGGCATAAAAGACCACATATTGTATGATTCCATTTATACGAAATGTCCAAAATAGACAAATTTATGGAGCTAGAAAGTAAACTAGTGGTTGCTTTGGGCTAAGGGCAAAAGGGAGAAATGGGAGCTACTGCTGAGTACAGGGTTTCTTTGGGGGAGGAGCTGAAACATTCTCAAATTTTAGTGATGGTTCCACAGTTGGATATGAATATACTAAATACTATTGATAAATGTGAATATACTAAAACCCATTGAATTGTACTTTAAATAGGTGAATCTTATGGTATCAGAATTTTATCTCAGGAAAGCTGTTTAAAAGAACCAGTAATTTGACTTACCAGTAATTAGCCCATAAACTTTACTTTAACTGTATTCACTTTTTTTTTTTTTTAACCAAGATTGTTTTCTCTTCCAACCTAAACTCATCTAACTCTTATTTTCACTGGGTGACTTAATTTTTATAGATATACTATTACATGGTCTGTGCTAAGAATCACAGCCAGTCCATTTTGGGGGTAGTAGTGGGAGGGGACCAGAGGCAGCCTTGGTGCCTGTCTCTACGGGATGGTAAAGGCAAATACTTTTCAAAAGGAAACGATGAATGTTGTTGCTTATAAATTAGCAAAAAGAATGCCAGCCTGGCTCCAAGCCATAGTAGGATGACAGCTGTAGTTTTTCATGATGTCCTCCTCAAATGGGAGGGGATGACCAAATCAGCCCTATTTCCCCTCTGCTTGTGGGTGCGCGATCAGCATGAAGACCTGGTATCAATCATGCCTCCCTAACACCTGATACATTCCTACCTCCAGGCACTTAACCTTGTTCCTCATTCGTCAGCAGAGAGAGGCTGCCCCTGTTCCTGGGTGGAGGAGCTGACAGAGCCTTTACCTGGATGCAGTAACCACAGCAGGTTGACAAGATTCGGGGAAATAGTTTCTCTTAAGTTCAATGCAGTTTTCTAGGCGAGCAGAGAATCTGTATCAGAAACCCACTTGCCACAATAGTTTGGCCATTGGCTTCCCTGCTGGGTTCTCATCAGGACAGCACAGACCCATCGCTGTGTTTTTCATCTGAGACCGCACCTCTCATTTGTCGTCCTTGGTTTTGGACACAACAGCCTGGGAAGGGAACAGGAAACTGGAGAAGACGCCCGGCCACAGAGCGCAGAGGAGGGAAACAGCCCGAGAGGGCAGCTTGTCTTTTAGAGTCAGAGGCCGCGTCATGGGTCTCACCCTAAAACACCAGCGCCCTGTGCTCCTTGGCTTCAAAGTACGACACACCCTCACCGCCACCCCCTGTCAGATTTTGGTCCCGCAGAAATCATTTCCTGGTTTCTGAGAAGGGGTCCAGCACCACCACTGGCTTGTTTACAGGAACGTACTTTCATTAGTTGCTAGAATGGCGACAGTTTTGTTTCCTATCATCTAATTTTCACTACTTTTATGTGGCGATGTGTCTTTTCTATTTCCAGCCTAATTGCTTGCTCATTAGGAAAAGCTGCTGAGGATAATCCCCTCTTAAGCATTACATATGTGGATACAGACAGACCTCCTTTCAGGGCGCTTGGCTTTATTGCGCTTCACAGATGTTGCATTTAAAAAAAAAAAAAACATATTTTATTGATTTTTTACAGAGAGGGATAGAGAGTTGGAAACATTGATGAGAGAGAGACACTGATCAGCTGCCTCCTGCACACCCCTACTGGGGATGTGCCGCACCCAAGGTACCTGCCCTTGACCAGAATCGAACCTGGGACCCTTCAGTCCGTAGGCCGACGCTCTTATCCACTGAGCCAAACCGGTTAGGGCAGATGTTGCATTTTTTACAAATTGAAGGCAAGACCCTCCATCAGCTAAAGGATTACGACTCGCTTTATTGCGGTGGTCTGGAATCCAACCCATGATACCTCTAAAGTACGCCTGCAAAAGATATGGGCGTTTACATTTCTGTAATTGTTTTGACAAAAAGGAGTGACTGTGAACAGCATGCCAGTGACTGGCTGCAGGGCTGGGGTGAGGATCTGGAGGCTTCATTGTCGTGGGAAAGGGGCCAGATTTAATAACTTTGCTTCAGAAAACGCAGAACCCTCCTTGATGCATTTGCTTATTCTCTGCCTCATTTA